TAATAATAATCTAACTGATTTGATAGGATTCCCAAACTTAAAAAAAATCTAAATCAGAACAAGCCATGAAGGAAGTGAGGCATATACAATACACTGCATGAAAAAGCTAGAATGCCTCTTCCACTCCTCCTTCTCATTTTCCTCTCCTCCATTCCCAAAATCCATTCACTATATCCCTCTGCTCCTCCCAAACAATTGTATATTGTGTCCTCACTGCTTCCTTCACCCCTCTACGGCACCCACCACCTCCTCCTAATTCTCCACTCTCCCACTGACCCGAACACCTCCACTAATAGTTTCACACGCTCCTGCACATTCCGCCTTTCTCACCCTTCTCCTCCTCCTAACCGCAGGGGACATCTCCCCGAATCCTGGCCCTCCATCACCTCCCTCACCCACACAACACCCTCCCGCCTCCACATCCTGCCGCTACCCCCCCGCAACTTAGTATCTGTCCCCCTGCTCCCTAAAATCACCCCCCCGTTTTCATGTGCACTCCTGAACGCCCGCCATCCACGACCTCTTTGTTTCCCCCTCCCTCAACCTCCTAGCGATCACAGAAACTTGGATCCAGGCCACTGACTCTACCTCCCCTGCTGCACTCTCCTACGGAGGTCTCACCTGGACCCACTCACCCAGACCCAACGGTCGTAAAGGTGGTGGGGTTGGTCTGCTCCTGTCACCACAGAACACCTTCCAAGTCCTCCCAAACCCCCCCTCTCTATCCTTCTCCTCCTTCGAGGCCCACTGCGTCTGACTATTCTCCCCAACCCCCCTGAAGATTGCTGTGATGTACTGGCCTCCTGGATCCATATCCCGCTTCCTGGATGACTTTTCCTCCTGGCTACCCTTCTTCCTCTCCCCTGAGCTACCCACCATCATCCTTGGGGATCTCAACATCCCTGTCAACCACGACAACCTGGCCACATCCCATCTCCTCCACTTAACCTCCTCCTTTGCCCTTGCACAGTGCATACAATCCACCACCCACTCCGACGGTAATATCCTTGATCTTGTCTTCTCCAACTTCTGTGCTCCCCACAACCTCACTAACACCCTCTCTCTGACCACAACCTGATTACCTTCTCTATCTCCTCGTCCTCCAACGCCTACCCCTCCAAATGTCACACTACTACCAGCCGTAACCTCCGCAACCTTAACACTGCCCCCCTCCACTCTGCAGCTGATCAACTCCACGACAGCATCCTCCTCCTGTCCTGCCCCGACTTGGCTATGACTGCCTATAACAAAGCGCTGTCAACAGCCCTTGACTCACTAGCGCCTTTAACCACAAGCAACATCAGACCCCGACCGCTCCAACCCTGGCAGACTGATCACACCAAAAACCCTCAAACGACACAGTCGTGCCCTGGAGCGACTATGGCGCAAAACCAAATCTCAACAAGCCTTCACCCGCTACAAATCTGCCTTCCACACCTACACCTCCTCCCTCCACGCAGCCAAACAAGCCTACTTCCTGATCCTCATCAAGGCCCTCTCCTCCAATCCTCGCCGACTCTTCTCCACCTTCAACTCTCTACTCTCTCCACCCACACCTCCACCCAGCACCTCACTCACCGCCCTTGAGATTGCCAATCACTTCAAAAACAAGATTGACACAATTTGCAAGGACATCGCCACAACTCACACTCCCTCTCAACCTGTTCCCTCTCACACAGCTACCCCCTCGTCCCCCCTCTCCCTCGACATAACCCGCAGGGACTTCGTCACTGCTCATCCCCCCTCTCCCTCGACATAACCCGTGGGTTCGTCACTGCTCAAACTCCCTCCAACCCCGTTCCCCCTCACTCAGCTACCCCCTCATCACCCCTCTCCCATGGCCCCACCACTGCTCTGACCTCCACTTCCACCCCACCCTACATTCCTCATACTGAAGCCCCCTCAACACTCCGCACCTTTGACCTTACTACCATCGAGGAAGTCTCCAAGGTCCTCTCTGATGCCTGCATCACCACCACCTGCTCCCTCGACCCTATCCCCTCACAACTCCTACAACCTCCTTCCCCCTCCATCCTTTGCTCCCTCACCCACATCTTTAATCTCTCCCTCTCCTCCGGCACTTCCCCTCCCCTCTGAAGCATGCACACATCACCCCATACTTAAAAAGCCCCTTCCTGGGACCCCAATGACCCGAACAACCCATCTCCCTGCTCCCATTCACATCCAAACTCCTCGAGCGCCCAGTCTACACCCGCCTAAGCTCTCACCTCAACGACAACAACCTCCTCGATCCCCTACAGTTCGGCTTCCGTCCCCTACACTCCACCGAAACTGCCTTACTCAAACTCTCAAACGACCTGCTAACCGCCAAAGCTAATGGCCACTATTCAGTGCTCCTACTCCTTGACCTCTCCGTGGCCTTCAACACAGTCGACCACCCCCCCTCCTCCTCAAAAAACTACACTCCCTCTGCCTCAGAGATTCTGCTCTCTCCTGGCTCTCATCCTACCTGTCACAACGCTTCTTCAGCGTTACCTATAATGCTACCACCTCCCCCTCACTCCCCCTCAAGGCTCTGTCCTCGGGCCCCTTCTCTTCTCCCTTGGCCAACTCATACAGTCTCACGGCTTCAACTACCACCTATATGCGACGACACGCAAATCTATCTCTCAACCCCCCACCTCACCCCTTCAGTCTCCGCCCGAATCACACACCTACTGAGCGACATATCAGACTGGATATCGCTCCACTTCCTTAAACTGAACCTCTCCAAAACCGAGTTTCTTGTCCTCCCCCCAGCCCGGACCCCACCCCCCCCCCATTGACTTCTCCATCATGTCCAACAACGCCACCATCAAACCCACCCCGCAGGCCAGAGTACTTGGTGTCATTCTGGACTCCAACCTATCCTTCCAGCCCCAAGTCCAATCTTTACCAAACTCATGCAGACTCCACCTCCGCAACATTGCCAAAATACGCAGGTTCCTAACCCCAGAAACCACTAAACAGCTCATCCACTCCCTCATCATATCACGACTCGATTACTGCAACTCCCTCCTCACTGGCCTGCCTCTCCACTGGCTATCCCCGCTTCAGTCGGTCCTGAATACGCCTGCCAGACTCATTCACCTTTCCAACCGCTCCGTTTATGCCACCCCCCCCTCTGCCAATCCCTCCACTGGCTTCCGATTGCGCAACGGATCAAATTCAAAATCCTAACACTGACGTAAAAAACCGTCCACCATACTGCCCCGAACTACATCACCGACCTAATATCCAAGTACCATCCAGCACGCACACTCCGCTCCTCACAAGACCTCCTTCTCTCTAGTTCCCTGGTCTCCTCCTCCCCATGCCCGCCTCCAGGACTTCTCCAGGGTGTCACCCATCCTCTGGAACTCCCTGCCCCAACCCATCAGATTATCACCTACTCTCCTCTCCTTTAGGCACACCCTGAAAACCCACCTCTTCAGGGAAGCCTACCCCACCCCCTGCTAACTTGCCGACCTCCTCCACTCTTCCTATCACTCCATCCCCCACAGCTTTCTCCTCCTGTGCCACCAGCCCCTCCCTCCTAGATTGTAAGCTCGAAAGAGCAGGGCCCTTGATCCCCTCATGTTTTGCATTGTATTGTTATTGTTCTGTCACATGATCTGCCCCCCTTTGTAATGTACAGCGCTGAGCGAACTATTTGCGCTTTATAAATACTGTATAATAATAATAATAATAATTGCTGGTTGGAGCATAACACTGTCCAAGCCCCAAAAACAAAAATTCTCTTGTATCTCACCTGGAGTAACAAATGGCATAGGTAACAATTCCGGAAGGTAGTAGGCAAACACATCGCCTGCTGTGCTGTGTGTCTTAAATATATTTGAACACTCGCCCCAAATTCTGAACACCTGGATCTGGAAGTGGGTGTCAATCACAGTGGATTGGCATGCATAATGGCCTCCCTGCATCTCGGCCTGCACCGCCACCCCTCCACCGAGTGCGGGATGATGTAATTGCGTCATCATGTCCATGTTGCAAAGTGACATTGCGCACCCAAGGCCCACCAACATGCACAATGCCTGTGTCAGGGCAGGGCTGTGGAACGGACAGGTAGGCCTAGTGGCAGGGTAACGCACTGACTGCATCACCAACAGACCGAAGTCCCTCAGGGCGCGGAGTCTAAGTCCCAGGCTGCCCTTCACCAGGGCCCCTGATGGTGGGGATGGACTTGACGCAGCCAGGAACCAGGTCGCGGCCCCCAAGACACCCCGGCTGCGGTAATGGCCGCCGCCAATGGCGTGTAGCTGGTAGGAATGACAATAGCATAGTCAGGCAGGCCGGGTCGACAACAACGGGACAAAACGGTACAGAACAGTAGACAAGAATCACAGGTCATGGGCCGGGTTCAGCAACGGAAGGTCAGATCAAAGGAAAACACAGAGAAGGGTCTAGTCACAAGCCGAGTCAGATACCAGAAGAGTCCCGAGAGTATACACAGAGCTGTAGCAACACAAAGACACAAGACACAAAAGTGCAAAGAGCATGTGCGGATCCCAGGCTTATATGTACTCAGCCACACCCCTCTGGGGGATGGACCTCAGAGACCTGAAGGCATAAAAGACTCCCACCATGCTCTGCAGAAATCCAAGATGGACGCCAGTACATGAAGCTGCAATATCTCTAGGAAAAAGTAGGACCTTGACAGCCTGCTTATCAAAAAGAAGAAGTGGATGGGAGGGAGGAAGGAGATGAACAGGCCGGGAACTCAAAGGGAACTACTAATGTATCATGTGATGTCATCCAAATGAAACAAATGCAGTCGTTAATCTCGTTAAAAAACAATTTTCGAATTCATTGCTATTCATTTCTGTGTCCAATCTCCAAAAGTTAATTTTTTGTCTGAAAAAAATGTCTACTTCTCACTAATACCAATTATGGAGGACTATTCTCCTCTTGATGATTACGGGTGCTATGTAATTTTTGTTACTCCCACTGGCCATCAAGCCTGAGGCATTAAATACTCCCACTGATGCTGGGGCATTTTCTATTGCCAGTCTGGCCTCTCTCAAGTCTGAACGAGAGTACACTTGCCCTTGCTTAGAAAGTTTGGAGACCCCTGATTTAGAACAACAGAAACGTACTTCAGTAAAACAAACGAAAGACACTTCCAATAAACTTGAGCCCACCAGAACCCCCCCTTAAAACAGAGTCTCCATCAGAACACCCCCTTACATCAGTAAAACCAGCCATAGACAGTTCGAATCTTGACTGGTTCAGCAGGGCCTGCTCGAGATTCGAACCCTGTATGGGTAGGCTAAATGTACCCAAGTTGATCAATCAATCCCCTGCTGGGAGAACACAATGGTTCAGTAAGAGTCAGTGTTCAGTCAGTGTTGATGGGGGAACCAAGCAATTTTCTTTCCGGCAACCCGTGGTTGTCTTAAGTCCTCCTTTGACCAGAGTCTCCCCCCTTACATGAGACTTTCCATAAAAGTTCTCCCTTATATCAGGGACCCATCAGAACCTCACAGGCCATTGTTTGAAGACCCCATGTGTTATAATATTATGTTGTTGGCACAGAGCTTAAGCTTATTAGTTTGGGAGATCCCATATGTTTACTGGTTGTCTGTATGCATGTATTGTGTAAAATAGTATCTTCAGATATCCTGTCTAATGCTCTGTACGCTGTCTGTTCCCATGGACCACTTTGTAAGGCTGCAGGACACATGTAAAACTGGTTACTCTACAAATTCTGTGCACACTGTAATGGGAATTTTCAGTAAGATAAATTGCATAGCCTTTATCAGTTAACAGAAAAAGAAAATTTTCTGGTTTCTGTGGGTTACTGCAATCTACTCTGTCCTATGTATTTACTGAAGGCCTTGTGTAGGAATGTGTGAAAGCTGAAAATATTTCAAGAAGCCATTTACAACAAAATTGTAACTAGCTTGTACAATTGTAAATGTGTACTATAACTTAACTTTTGGTCACCTCTATAATAACAGTCAAGAAAATTGTTGAAACAAGGATTTCTGAGGTTGTTTTCATAGGAAAGTGTTGACTGTTCTGGTATCTTTTTTTTTTTTTTTCATGTAGCGGGTTTGTACTAGAGCCATATGTTAAATGCAAAACATTTGTCAGCTATAAAATTTACATTTGACCTAAGCATCAGAAGTATATAAAATATTTTTTCCACAATGGTTTTACCTAAAATAAAAATCTTGTTCAGCAAGGTTGCTGTTTTGTTTCATGTCCCACCTCAATCAGGTTTTGTTCAGTAAAAGTCTTTTTCAATGTTTTGATTTCCCAGTTCACATTTCTTCAACAAGCATGACCCAAATATTCCTGCATCTGTTTATTGCATCTCTTTAAACTGTCCATCATAAGCAAGCTCTCCTGTCATCCGCCCAGGCTCAGAAAGTACAAACAAGTGAGAGAGAGAGAGTGATTAAAGAGGACAGCAGGAAGAGAGATAAGGAAGGAAGAAAACAGAGAACAGCAATGTTGAAATTACTTTACACTTTTAATAATCAGTATTTAAATACTAAAACCTAAGCGGTCCCATGATGCTGTATTTCCAGGGTGCATGGTATGAAGCCACGGCAGGAGTGCTCTAAAGCTCTGATGTCAACATAGTTTTCAGTGAAGGCAAATAAGGATGGGGATGGTGTTGACATCCAAACAATATAAACATACGGGTAAGGGCTTAGAAGGGACTAAAGCACCCAAAAAGTCCTCACATGAATCGAGGCACAGCACAGTAAAGTTAATGGGATACAGTGGAATTAAAGCAGTAGCAAATCCAAAAGCGTACATTTATTGTATTGCAGCTTACTAATTCTTGGATGTGGTGGCTGCATTCATTTTATTTTCATCTGGTGATCCAGCCAGTAAGTTTGTTGTTTTTCCAAAAGAATAAACTCTCCAGCAGAATGTGTCAGTTACAGAGATGGGACAAACCATTTAATACTAGCAGGGATGCTTTCAATGATCAGCTTTAATTTATGTATTTATATTCTAGTGCATCTAACACTCCTCCGAGACTGACAATGCTCCTGTCCAAAGATGCCCCCTGTGCTCATTCATCCAGGCACTCTAATACGGGAGGTGTGTTACTGGCCAGATCACCAGTGAAAAACTGGATAAAAAAAAGAAAACCAATGCAGCCACTACATCAAATGATTGGTAGGATGCAATATATTACATTTTTGGTTTTGGGTTTAATTCCGCTCTAAATTTACAGTTTAGATCTACTCTATGGGCTTGTTCACAATAGTGTTCTGATCACACTTCAGAGAGCATTTGACAGAGAGGAGGTGTTGTACTGCATCCTCACCACCTGTTTTAACTCCTTAAACCTCGCACTACCACAAGCACAAGCACAACCATATGCATTGCATACAGTTGCTGGGCAGTTGTAGAGTGGAACCATTCAGGGTGTGTATTTCCTGATGAGAAGAAAAGCATTGCTGATGTAGCCTGTGTACATTCACAGCCTCTAGGGCAGTGTTTCTCAACTCCAGTCCTCATGGACCCCCAACAGGTCATGTTTTCAGGATTTCCATTATTTTGCACAGGTGATTTGATCAGTTTCACTGCCGTAGTAATTACCACAGCTGTTTCATCTGAGGGAAATCCTGAAAACATGACCTGTTGGGGGTCCATGAGGACTGGAGTTGAGAAACACTGCTCTAGGGGAACGGTGGTGGTGGTGGTGGTGGGAGGGGGGTTTGGGTAAAAGCATGGTTAAACAGTGGGGCTTTACACCCCCCAACCACTAGTGTGAACAAGCCCTGATGGATGTGTGCTTTCAGGGCACTTGTCCTTTTATCCTTTACCTGTCCTAGATGTTAAATCATAGTTTATGCTTGCCATGCTCCTTTGAGATCTTTGCTGTGTGGCCTACAGGCTTTCATTTGGACTTTTCAAAATTTGATGCAGCTTTACCCACACATTCTCACACATATACAGGTGCATTGCAAAATTCTAAAGAGTTTAGTTGAAGGCCACTGCATAGTGAAAATCTTGCAGAAGTGGGGGTGCAGGTAAGTAGGGAGGAAGAGCAATAAGGATACATGCATTAGAAGACCTTTAAGATATTTTAGGCCGGGCTCACTTTAATTGTTGGGGATATGTAAGTGTCAGAGATTGGTTTTATGTTGGAGGACTTGCTGCATATATCTTTATTCACATTTGTTTTTTTAGCCCACATTAGTCCATGAGAGCCCAGGAACTCCCCAGCAATGCCTAGGTTGAGGCCTTTCTGTCTGGTTACAGCCAAAGATCTTCTATATATGAAGGTATCTAGGTGGCTTACCAGATTCCCAATCTACTTCTAAAGCACTGCAGAGAGATCATCAGATAATAAAACAATTATAGGTTTACAACACCAACTGTAAAGAATGTACAAAGTGCTAATACCCAAATGTATTACATTTTGGATGGGTTAGAGCAAGGTTTTTCAACCAGGGTTCCTCCAGAGGTTACCAGGGGTTCCTTGAGCAATGAGAAATTTCTACTTCTCAGATAAGTTCTCATTGACACCACTGATCTTTTTAGCTATCTGTAAGGGAGTAATTCTTTTCACTATCACACTATTGTATCAGGAAATGTAGATACACTGCTAAAAAAAAAGTAAAGGAACACTTTTTAATCAGAATATAGCATCAAGCCAGTTAAACTCCTGGGATATTGATATGGTCAGTTAAATAGCAGAGGGGGTTGGTTAATTAGTTTCAGCTTCTTTGGTGTTAATGAAATTAACAGGTGCACTAGATGGGCAACAATGAGACGACCCCCAAAACAGGAATGGTTTTACAGGTGTAGGCCACTGACATTTTTTCCCTACTCATCTTTTCTGACCAGGGGCGGACTGACCATTTGGAAACTCGGGCACTGCTTGAGGGCCCGGGGTCAGTAGGGGGCCCCATGAGATGCCCCTGGTACCTTTTTCATAGGCTTTTGTGAGTTTGGGCAAGGACACAGGGGCCCCATGATCCCCTATTGCCCGGGGGCCCCATGAGTTGTCAGTCCGCCCCTGTTTCTGACTGTTTTTCACTAGTTTTGCATTTAGCTAGGGTCAGTGTCACTACTGGTAGAATGAAGCAGAACCTGGACCCTACAGAGGTTGCACAGGCAATCCTACTCCTCCAGGATGGCACATCAATACGTGCCATTGCCAGAAGGTTTGCTGTGTCTCCCAGGACACCCTCTGGAGCATGGAGGAGATTCCAGAAAACAGACAGATACTCTAGGAGAGCTGGACAGGGCTGTAGAAGGTCCTTAACCCATCAGCAGGACCGGTATCTGCTCCTTTGTGCAAGGAGGTACAGAATGAGCACTGCCAGAGCCCTACAAAATGACCTCCAGCAGGCCACTGGTGTGAATGTCTCTGATCAAACAATCAGAAACAAACTTCATGAGGGTGGCCTGAGGGCCTGACATCCTCTAGTGGGCCCTGTGCTCACTGCCCGGCACCATAGAGCTTGATTGGCATTTGCCATTGAACAACAGAATTGGCAGGTCTGCCACCGGCACCCTGTGCTTTTCACAGATGAGAGCAGGTTCACCCTGAGCACATGTGACAAACGTGAAAGGGTCTGGAGAAGCCATGGAGAACTTTATGCTGCCTGTAAAATTCAGCATGACTGTTCTGGTGGTGGGTCAGTGATGGTCTGGGGAGGCATATCCATGGAGGGACGCACAGACCTCCACAGACTAGACAATGACACCCTGACTGCCATTAGGTATCGGGATGAAATCCTTAGACTCATTGTCAGACCCTACGCTGGTGCAGTGGGTCCTGGGTTCCTTCTAGTGCACGACAATGCCCGGCCTCATGTGGCAAAAGTATGCAGGCAGTTCCTGGAGGATGATGGAATTGTTACCATTGAATGGCCCCCACGCTCACCTGACCTAAATCCAATAGAACACCTCTAGGATGTCATGTTTTGGTCCATCCGACAATGCTAGGTTGCACCTCAGACTGTCCAGGAGCTCAGTGACACCCTGGTCCAGATCTGGAATTACCCCAGGACATCCAGTGAGCATTGGAGGAGCAGAGAGCAGTGATTGACAGTTACAGCTCTCCTCTTGGAGCAGATCAAGAGTGATCCGCAGTCATGTCATCACTCAGTTCTTGGTATTAAAGTTGGCGTGGGACAGCTGCAGCATTACACAGGTGCTGCAGCATAGAGGGGAGTATGGACATTTAAAAAAATAAATAAAAAAGAGATCCTGCTTACAACCAAAAAAACATCAAGAGACAGAGCAGCTTGCCATATGTTCTGGTAAACAATATATAAATTAAACAAGCTTCCTAAAAGGCAGTGCCCTAAAAGGCAGTGCTAAATCTCAGCAAAAAAAAATAGCAAGTCACAAATAATTAAATCCTAAGACAAAAGTGAAAATAAAATATACTGAGCAAATTGTGTATTAAACATAACATATATGCAACCTATGCAGTGATATGATTGCTACATGAGTGCGCCACAATATGACAATAAATCATATCAATCAACAATAGAACAAAATAGTGTATCATGAACTGACTGTGCGTTTAGTGCATTGTATGTACATATACAATAATGCAATATATATCAAGTGTCAAGCAATGTGATAGCAAAACATATAAGTGGCCGGCACAGTGGTTAAATGGTTAGCACTTCTGCCTGGCAAGTACTAGGGTCATTGGTTCAAATCCCAACCAAAGCACCACCTGCCTGGAGTTTGCATGATCTCCCTGTGCTTGTGTGGGTTTCCTCCAGGTACTCCGGTTTCCTTCCACACTCCAGAAGACATGCTGGTAGGTTAATTGGCTCCTGTCTAAATTTGCCCTAGTATATGAATGCAAGTTAGGGACCTTAAATTATTATTATACAGTATTTATATAGCGCCAACAGTTTGCTCAGCGCTGTACATTATAAAGGGAGACAGTACATGAGACAGTACAGTAACAATACGATTCAATACACAAGGGGTTCGAGGGCCCTGCTCCTTGGAGCTTACAATCTAGGAGGGAGGGGATAGTGGTACAGGAGAAAATAGCTGTGGGGGATGGAGTGGTAGGAAGAATGGAGGAGTTCAGTAATTAGCTGAGTGCGAGGTAGGCTTCCCTGAAGAGAGAGATTTTCAGAGTGTGCCTAAAGCTGAGGAGAGTAGGTGACAGTCTGATGGATTGGGGTAGGGAGTTCCAGAGAATGGGGGGAGCCCTGGAGAAGTCCTGGAGACGGGCATGGGAGGAGGAGACCAAGGAACTAGAGAGTAGGAGGTCTTGTGAGGAGCGGAGAGTACGTTTTGGGTGGTATTTGGATACCAGATCGGTGATGTAGTTTGGGGCAGTATTATGAACAGCTTTATAAGTCAATGTTAACATTCTGAATTTTATCCGTTGGGCAATCGGAAGCCAGTGGAGGGATTGGCGAGAGGGGTGGCGTATACGGAGAGGTTAGTAAGGTGGATGAGTCTGGCCGCAGCATTCAAGATAGACTGAAGCGGGGATAGCCTGCGGTGGGGTAAGCCGGTGAGGAGGGAGTTACAGTAGTTGAGGCGTGATATAATGAGGGAGTGAATGAGTTGCTTAGTTGTTTCCGGGGTTAGGAACGGACGTATTTTGGAGATGTTGCGGAGGTGAAGTCTGCATGAGTTTGTCAGGGAATGGACTTGCGGCTGACAGGACAGATTGGAGTCTAGGATGACACCTTGTCACGGTGTAAGGTCAGGTTCAGAGACCAGTTGCTATAGCAGTAAAAGGCTTACCTGTAACCAGCAGGATAGGTACACCAGCGGATCCCCCTGGGAATGACGCAGGCTCACTTGAGGTGCGGTGTCTAGGTATTAACCGGTATTCACCAGAGCTCCTAATGGTGGAGATGGATTGGGCTGCGTGTTAATACCAGGTCGCAGATCTCAGGATCACCCCACCAGGGAATGAGCAGACTGGTAACCGATAGCGGATCAACAGGTTAGGGATCAGATGAAAGCAGAGTCAGTCACAAGCCAAGGGTCGGTCACAAATGGTAGCAGATCAATCGCAGTACGTTAGGATGAGACGAAATCGTGGTCAGGAACAAGCCAAAGGTCAGTAGCGGAGGTGTAGACAGCAGCAGGAACAGTAGCGGTATATTGGCTGGAAAGGCACAATAATCTGGCAAGGAGGAAGTGCATGGACATGGCTTTTATAAGGAAGTTCATGGGAGGAGCAAGGAGTTCAAGGTTCAAGAGTTTTCAAGGCACAAGGCAGGATTATCCAAGAATTGTCAAGGGAGCTGTCCAGCATTCCAGATAGCTCAGTGAGAAGAGACATTGCCTCTCACTGCAGAAGGACCAGGTTCGATCCCAGGCTCGATCCCAGGCTCGATCCCAGGCTCTGACAGTACTCCCCTCCTCACAGGACGTCCCCTGGACGTCTTAGGACCAGGCTTGTGAGGAAACCTCTGGTGAAATTCTCTTGTCAATCTAGGAGCATGGACATTTTCCTCAGGCTCCCAAGAATTTTCCTCTTGCCCATATCCTTCCCATTGGACAAGATACTGCAATTTTCCTCTAAACATCCTAGAGTCAAGAATATTCTCTACCACATATTCTTCTTCACCCTGTACCTCAACAGGAGGAGGAGGAGGAAGAATTCTTCCAGAGAAAGGATTTTCATGAAATGGTTTGAAAAGTGATACATGAAACACAGGGTGAATCCTCATACTGTCAGGAAGTTTTAAGCGAAAGGCGACTGGGTTAATCTGAGCAGAAATCTGGAAAGGTCCCACAAAC